TTCGATCAAATATACAACTTTTAGTTAACTACAAAAAGCTAACTTGAAACTAGTTGAAAATTATTGCAGGAGTCATGCAGACGTAAATGGGAGTTTGTTTTCTTTAAACGAGTTTCTATTTAAATATCCTTATGCTAATTTTACTTTGAATACACTTTTGTTCTGCACTGCACAAATACTTTTTCGAATTCAGCAGAAATGAAGATCGAAATTTTATATTACAATTTTGACGTTATGTCTGACGGAACTCGAATATGGAACCACCAACAGCAGAATATGTTAACAAATATATAATAGTAATATTAAGTTAAAGTTAATTAATGAACAATTGAAAAAATATTTCTATTTTTATTGATATTTTATGTCCAGTTAGTTGATACCTAATGCAGTGGTAACCAGACGTGTCTGTTTTGCGGGTATCGTCATACAAATATAGTTAGCTTTCCTAAAATAAAATATACAGATTATAGTGACTTTTAGTTTCTTTCTAATCAAATTCAAGTTAGCATATATTTAGATACATTTCCTGCAGGGTACACACATATATGCATGTATATGATGTGTATTTTCAAACCTTAAAGACAAAGATAATCAAATCGAATGAGTGAGAAAAGATCAGTTATAAAAACGTGATTTAAAAAATATTTGTGAACAGTAAAGTGGCATTTTCACATACATATATACATACATACATACATATGAACAAAGGTGGCGCATTTCGCAAATTGCTGCTTTGTTTTTGCCGATTTTGACAAATTCTCAAGTAAAAGTAAACAACGCCTCAAAAACTTTGAATCGCGGCGAATTCATATAAGGCGCTGTAATCGCCTAAGCGATTTTGGCCGAGTTCAACAAAGCACGCCAGTCGTTTCTCTTCTGTGCCAAGTGACGCCAACTGGAAATGTCCTTCTCCACTTGGTCTTTCCATCGCAGTGGAGGCCTTCCGACTTGAAGTACTACAAGGTCTTATCTAGTGCATTGTGTGAAAAACTGAAGCCCATCGTCAGCGAACTGATTGGGCCTTATCAGTGTGGTTTTGGACCTGACAAATCTACCATAGACCTGGTATTTATAATACACCAAATCTTGAAAATGACCCGCGAGAAAAGGAACGACACTCAACACCTATTTGACGATTTCAAAGCCGCTTCCGACAGCACGAAAAGAAATTGCCTTTATGCTGCTGAATTTGGTATTCCCGAGAAATTAATACGGCAGTGTAAAATGACGTTGAGCCGTTTAACACCAAACGAGGTTTCACTCAAAGTGACTCGATTTCGTGCCGCAGAATTGAACCGATGGGGCGCAATTCTTTACAGAGCCCAAAAAAATTATTGGCGTATGCCGATGACATGGACATCATAGCTATTAAGAACGCCGAAGTCTGTTCTGCCTTTTCCTATTTAGATAAGGAAGCAAAGCGAATGGGTCTGGTGGGCAACGAGGACAAAACGAAGTATCTCCTGTCATCAAACAAACAGTCATCGCATTCGCGCTTTGGCACTCACGTCACTGTTGACAGTTACAATTTCGAGAAAGTAGAGAATTGCCAGCATCAACCAGCATCAACACCGCTAATAATGTCAACATTGAAATCCAACGCAGAATCACTCTTGCCAGCAGTGCTTCTTTGGACTGAGTAGGCAATTAAGGAGTAAATTCCTCTCTCTTCGTACAAAAATCACACTCTGTGTCCGTGAGGCGGCTGTTGAAGCATGGGAGAGAAAGATTTTGCTGAAGATTTACGGGCCTTTACGTCATGTCGTACGAATGGACAGAAACGCTCCAGCTCGGAAATTATTCAACGCGGGTCGCGATGCTGGCAACATAGGAAGAAAGAGGCCCACACTGAAGAAAAGAATTTTATGACTGAAAATAAGATCTAGAAGACGATACAATTTATTTGGAATCTATTAACTTCAAGTAGATCAACACGCAAGAAGTTATCAACTAAATATGCTTCTAAATAATTACTAACCAACATTAGCAAAAGTCAAAAATTAATTATTGTCTAAAAAGGACCAATGTAAATTATTTAGATTGAAATCACCAATCTCGTTAAGAAGCGCTAGTTATTGTTGAATTCATCACTGAAAGGAGGACTTACATATCGTCGGTGATACTGCAAAACGGTTATGTCTATTAGTACCCTTGGCATCTAGTCTTGGCACTTGGTCTCTTACGTGCACCGTAATGCATCTATAAATCGTTATACCTTAATACAGAGCTTCTTAAAGTGGGTTCCGCGGAACCAAGGGTTCCGTAGAAAAGTCACCGAGGTCCCGCGAAATTAATTTCGGTATGAATACGCACGGCGGTCGGTTTGAGCTCCACACAGAAAGAAAATTTCTATAAACAGCTTGACTGAGACGCAATTATCTATTTTCAAGTATACATATCGTCACCTGAAATTCAAAAAGACATAACAACCATCACCGCTGAAATGCAAAAAGTCATAACTAAAAAAAAAAAATCAAAATTCACTTTTTGATTTATATGATGGATTTCATCGAATTACAACTCCCACATAATTTTATGAAAAAAAAATAAATGAAAATATTAGCCACGAAATTTTCAATTTCAGTTGCGATGTTGTTACATCTTTTTGCATTTCAGGTGACGATATGTACTCATAGTTAGAATGATGAAACAAATTCAGGTCGAAATTAGATGCTATCCCAGAAATGTACGTACAGCTTTCAGACATTATATCGAACTACGATTTTATACAATACCTAATTAATAATAGTGAAACAATTTCATTTTTTACATTAAAATTTAAAGTATGTATACTATTTCTAGTAAAAGTTTTTATTCATATATAAATTGCACTGCCTTTGATTTTTAGTATTTTAATGTGGGGTTCCATAAAATGAATGGTGTTTAGTAAGGGTTCCATCATCTTAAAAGTTTAAGAACCCCTGCCTTAATAAACGAATGACAAAATTTTTTACCGTTGACTGATGAAGATGAACGGTTGGCAGACGCGATCAGATACAGATAACAGATCAATTAAGCACCAGAGATAATAAGTAACATAGAACGATGTGCAGTATCACCGATGATATGAAGGACACACAAATAAGAAGAAAACTAAAGATACCATAAAGGCACATTAATAGCGTGTTCCCGTACTCCAGGGCGGCTTACAGTCGAAAATATTTTTGTGGAAGGTCGCCACCTGATTGAAAATTTGAATTACATTTAATTGATAAGATAAATTAAATACTGCGATGTGGGTATCAAATTGTAGAGGTTCAGGAAATTTTACTGGCAAAAATATTTTTGAGTCGGGCTGCCTGTTTTAAAAATTGTATTCAATTAAATTTCAATTTGATTTAATTGATAAAATAAATGAAATATTACGATTCGGGTGTCGAACTAAAGAGGTCTAAGAAAGCTTACTGCCAAAAATATTTTTGTAGCGAGTTGCCACCTATTTGACAAATTGTATACAATTAAAGTGCTATGATACTGTAAATACTGAATTAATACACCTTTGAATAAAGCTCACGATATGTAGAATTGAGTTTTAAAAGTATAAATTAAATTTCCAGGATTTAATACCTTCGAAAATATATTAACTAACACCCTTAATAAAAAAGTACCACGTTGACCGAGCTTTGCGAGGAGTGAATATACTTTTTAAAGCTTTCAAAATTTGGATAACTTTAAAAAAATATTTTGGAAAAAAATTGGATTTCGATATCTATTAAGTAAATTTCTTACTCCAAAATNAGTCGGGCTGCCTGTTTTAAAAATTGTATTCAATTAAATTTCAATTTGATTTAATTGATAAAATAAATGAAATATTACGATTCGGGTGTCGAACTAAAGAGGTCTAAGAAAGCTTACTGCCAAAAATATTTTTGTAGCGAGTTGCCACCTATTTGACAAATTGTATACAATTAAAGTGCTATGATACTGTAAATACTGAATTAATACACCTTTGAATAAAGCTCACGATATGTAGAATTGAGTTTTAAAAGTATAAATTAAATTTCCAGGATTTAATACCTTCGAAAATATATTAACTAACACCCTTAATAAAAAAGTACCACGTTGACCGAGCTTTGCGAGGAGTGAATATACTTTTTAAAGCTTTCAAAATTTGGATAACTTTAAAAAAATATTTTGGAAAAAAATTGGATTTCGATATCTATTAAGTAAATTTCTTACTCCAAAATTTAGGTGATAACCCTATTCAGAAATTCGCTGGAATAAATGGTATATATCTTGTGCGTAATACATAAAAAAATGCAGATTGAAATTAACAAAATAAAAATTTGTGTTACATAAAAGCGTGGCAACTCTGATGGATAATATTTTGTGACCAAAGTTCTCAAAAATACCTTTCATTTGATATCCATATTGCGATGTTTTAGATAAATCGTGTAGAATCGAAAATAAGTGGCAACCTTACACTATTATCCTAAGGGATAGCATTTTATATACAGGGAAAGCATTGTTTAAGAACCTTATCTTGGTACCCATGAATAGTAATATTTTACCCCTTTTTTCTAAACAAAAAATTAAATAAATATGAGATTCGATATAGGTGGCAACTCTATTAAAACTATTTTTGAATTAGGGATCTTTAAAATACCTTCCATTTGATACCTATATTATGCTGTTTGAATTAAATTTGTTACTAATTTCGAATAGGTGGCAACCTTATACGAGACTTCTCGGAGATAATGCTTGTTCAGATAACCATAAAATCCAAAACATTATCTGTGCAAAAACACTTCATCAAAATCGTTAGAGCCGTTTCGTTCACATTCCTTAGGACCCGTTTGCGTGAAACACCATCCTAATCATCATTTATTTGTAGGATATAAAGATGAGAACAGTAATGAGTAATGCTCTGGGTTACCAACCCTCCCCTTTGCTTTACTTTTACGTTCGAATTCCAAGTAATCACTACTTTCTAATTAACATTTTCGATATACATATATATGTATGTTAATACTCGTACGTAAAAATTTTCTCAAACTCACCTTGCAACTTTTTCTCTGTCTCCCAAAACTTCTGCAATTCGGTGAAATATTTATCCAGAATGAACACTTTTGACAGGCCTAATGTGGCCATCGTTGATTAACATTTGTCTACAGTAACCAAAAAATTTTTTTTTTTTTGTCAACGTTTCTGGTTATACATCACTAATACTATTTAACACAAGCACTGACACATAAACGCTTCCCGATGTCCATACACCTGAACGCGAATAACTACAATAGGCTCGAAATCAGGAATCAGGTTGTTACTTTTTCGCAAAAGTGTAGCTTCTACACTGCAACCACTGATGCACCTTTTATGGGTGAGAAGATAGTGCAAAAATTCACTGTTCACTGTGGACTGTGGACTGAGAGTGTGCTAGTAGCGCGCAATTGTGGCGCCTTCAAAAATTGGGCAGAACTCGTATCCCTATATGTATGTAAGTTTTATCGCGAAAGGAATGGGGGAATCGAAATGAAATTCGAAAATATTCCCTACAATTGTGCGCTGCGAGCAAAGGGCGGCAACGATGACGACGACGACACCGACGCCGACGCGTTGGCGCAAAAGGCGAATTGTGTTGCAACAACGGACCTGGAATAAGTAAGCGAACGACTATGCGGCTGGAATTCGCTGGATCGCTGGAACGCGGCATGGCTCGACTGGCTCCACTGGCTCGTTGGCTCCACTGGCTGTTTAGCTAACTTTACGCGACGCGGCAGTGAATTCAAATATTGCGGATACCACGAAAATGTGGTACATTGATGTTGTCGTTGTCGTCGTCGTCGCCGTCATCGTCGTTGTCGTCGTCGTTGCAGGCGCTGAGCAGAACAGGTTTCAAAGTTGTAGATTAGGTATAAATACGCACATACATATGCATATATATAAAAATTGGCAAAGTTGCAGCAGCAGTCAGGAGTGATGATATAGGATGGACCAGAACGACAATGGTGTCAGTGTCGGTGGCGGAGGCGCGGAATTTGCCAAACTGTATCTATTATTCGCGCGCTGCGGTTGGTTCCCAGAAATGCTGTGTTCTTTTTGTATTGTTTTTGTTTTTGGTGTGGCTTTCTGCGCGCCAGCTTCTTTTGCGCAAAGGAATTTGTGCGATTATGGCTAACAAAGTTGGAGCACAACAAGTGAAATGGCCAGCCGAGATTAACACCTATACACAAAGGCAGGGTAGGCGCATAAAATCACTGCATGCAATGGAAGATGCAGAACGCAAGCGACGATCACGATTGCCATTTCCAATTTATTTTTCGAACTAAAAAATGGACCAAATGGTAAAAAATTTACCAATTTTTATTACATCGGGAAATTGAGTGGAGTTTATTCCACTTTATCAAGAAATCGTGCCAATTCAACGATTTTTTTTCTTTTTATATTGCATCCAAAATGCATTACAATTGTATATTAATAACATTATATTATTTAAAGTTTTAAATTATAATTTGTTTCTTAATTTCGTTTTTATTAATGCTAAATCAAAAAATTTGCGCTCAGCTGCTGCGAAACTGTGAGTCATACTAAAAATATTATGAACTAAATCACACAATTCTCCAAAGGCCGCTTCATCCAATTCATTTTTAATCAAACTTACTTGATCCCAAAAATGTTCTATATTGGTACAGTTATAGAAGTTACCTTAACTCAGCCTCAATTTGCGAAATTGAAATTCAATTATGTGTGCATCATTTACCAATGCAGGAAATTGGTCGAGTAGCAGCGAAAATTCATACATCAATATTAGAAAGAACTTTATGTGGTGTAATAATTTCAAGATGTTTAATATCTTTTCGATTGAAATCGAATATTATTTTCATGTGCTAAATGATATGATTAAAGTTTTGCTACCTTTCCATATACATATTTGCCAGCCACTTTAATATTGGTCACCGAGTAATTGAAATTAGCAAGTAACCGCGATATTTTTTGAAGCGTGCTTTGACAGATGATTGGCCATGCCATATTTGAAGAGCAGTGGCAAGGTGAGTTCACACTTTTAGCAGGTGTTGCCAATCGGCCCTATGCTGAATATCGTCATCGTCATCGTCGACGATCGTCAGCGTATCGGTAACATGGCTGACGATGGCCGTATCGTCACTTTACTGAATATTCATCAATTAAATAGAAAAAATTTAAAACGCAGAACTATTGCATGAAGTGAGAAGGTGATAATAACCTAGCCAAAGGCTTGTGAAATGGACCATTTAAAAAAAAAATTGGACCAATGGACCAAACGAAAAGAAATGGACCAAATTTGGACCAAAACGGCAACCGTGGCGACGACTGACCATTCCAAACAGAAATACAGAGAGAAAGACGGCAAATTAATAAAAACAAATCACAAATAACGGGTGGTCCATGTTGGGGTTTTTTACTTATTTATTAATCATATGTCATTTCGACAGTAACTGAACTTTCACGCTGGAAATCTTGACAGAAAATCAATAACGTAGCGCCGTGGAACGAAACGAAACGCTTTATTCTTGAAAAATCATGGGAATGAAAGCTAATTCGGAAGCGGACAACGATTTTGCTCGAAAAATCATCTTTTCTGGCGAAGCGCATTTTCATCTCGGCGGCTGTGTTAATAAGCAAAACAGCCGCTTCGAGGGATCGTAAAAACCCGGAAGTGATTGTTGAGAAGCCAATGCGTTCTCAGAGAGTGACAGTTTGCTGCAGATTTTAGATCGGCGGCATCATTGAGCCATTTTGCTTTGAAAATGCTGCTCAAGAGGCCATTTCGGTGAACGGTGAGCAATACAAAGTCCTGATAAACGATTTGTTGTGATCGGTAAATGAAGACATAGACTTGGATGATCTTTGGTTTCAACAGGATGGTGCGCCTTGCCACAAAACCCATGCCACAATCGATCATTTTCGCGCCAAGTTTGGTAATAATGTTATCAGCCGTATAGGGGATGTCAATTGGTCATGTCGGAGCCGCAGCAGGATTCGCTACTAAGAAGGTCAATCGAGGCAGCCACATGAATGAAATCATGTTCCCGAAAGCTAATCGGAAGTGGGAAAAAGTGCGACCAAAGGTGCTTAAACCTTTGGTTGGCAAAGGTAGGGAACCAGAGCAGCATCATCTTCCATGCATCCGAGGGCCATCGATGATGTTCAGCCTTACGGCATGCTTACCTATCACGCAATGACCAGTTAGCATTCCCACCAATAGCGAGAGATGTAGCTTGCTTAGTCTCAAGAGCTCCCCTGGACCGCCATGGTCTGCACGTAGCCAGAAGGATTTTGCCTCCTTGCGTTCGATGGATTGATGGAGATTTCTTCGCAGAAGAAGGAATGTGGGTGGTAAAAGATCCATTCGTACCCAGAATCGGCGTGCCGTGGTATATCCGAGTCGATAGGAACCCGAAGTCTTTTAGAATACTGGAGTGCTCATAGCTCCAGACGAACTTAAAGCCCACTCCACCTAGCCTTACTTCACAGCGGCAGCCCTGCCAGCTGCATATATCTATATGCCTCGAAGTGCCTCACGGATTCCAATTAATTCGGCTCTTTGCATCCTTTCCAGCTGCTTGACGATGAAGGCCTTGCCGAGTGCGTTCCACCAGACAAGTACCCCCATATAATAAAATGTTCATTATTATAATTTCAGAATGCTACCTTCGGCGAAAGACCCCAGCGCTTACCAATGATCCTCTGCAGCAATACAAGGCCTCTATGTTAGGCTTCCAGAAAAGTCAAGGATCGAGCCTGAGTTCTTCACCCTATCAGAGAAACTTAAAGGAAGCCCACTCACTGAGACGGCAATTCGGTATCTTATACTTCAAATTAAAAAGAACAAGCTCCATTTTATTGCGGTTCACACCCAACCCGCAACTAAAAGCTCAGTCCTCAACCAAGTTCAGGAAGCCCTGGATAGGTTCAAACAGCGTTTCCGGAAACTTTTTTTTATCAATGCTACATCGTCAGCATAGGCAACCACCCGACAGCCATTTATTTTCAGAGCCACGAACAGGTCGTTGACGACATTAACCCCTTGCGGGGTGCCTCTAGTCACACATCCCCGGATTGAAGCTTTGCAACACTTTGCCGCGACAATTATGTTGGAAAAAAAGCGGTAAATAACCCCAAGAACGCTTAAAACCCCAAACCGAAATGAAAACAGAACCTTCGGGAGTATTTGTACGAAAGTGAGAACAAAACTGTCGGGAACGTTCTCAACGGGAACTATATAAGAAAAAAAATCAATTTAGGTGAATAAAATGGGAACAAAAGTTTCCCGCACGTTCTAGCAAAGAACAAAACGGAAACAAAAGTCTCTGGACCTATCTGACAGATAACGAAATGGGAACAAATCTTCTCTAAACTATTCGCGAAGAATGTAAGGGAGAATACAGTTTTTTTCATAGCGTTGCATTACTTTGAAACGTATAAATATTCAAATTAATCAAAAAAGAACTGAGAGATAATTATGCAAACGAAAGACTTAAGACGCGAACTTTTCTTGTACAGAAAATTAAAAGTTGTTCCATAAATAGACGGTTCACCGTAATGATGAACGATCTGCAAATTGAAATGATCTAGCTTTCCTCAGGCTTAGAATAAAAAAAAAAACACTAGTTCTTACTGAAACGGTTTTTCCTCCCAACGCGCAGACGCTTCTGTCATTCTTTACGTTAAGTTCTCAAAACTTTTGTTCTCGTTTTGTTCTCTAGCAGAACGTGCCCTAGACTTTTGTTGGTTTTTAATCCTCCTTGAAGAAGTTCTCGATACTTTCGTGGTTTCGTTCACGAAAGTTTCGTTTTCATTGTTCTCTTAAGTATGTTCTTGAGAGTTTTGTTCTCATTTCGTTCTCTTTAAGCACATTTCCGAGAGTTTTTTTCGCATTTTGTTCTTTACGAAAACGTTCCCGAACCATTTGTTCTCATTTCGTTCACTTTCCTACTGCTCACAATACTTTTGTTCACGTTTGTTTCTTTTGCGAAAACGTCCTTGACATTACATTTAGTTCGCGTGCAGAGCTAAAGTAAAACCGGAGCGTGATTTCGGTCCCTGCCAATTATATACCGATAACATTTATTTAGCTTCATTTTAATTTAATTTTTAAAAGGAAACTACTATATGAACCACCCTATATGGACCCCCAATCGGAAGAGGAACGCAGGCAGTACAGGTGGTGTGTAGGGTATGAATTTGGAATACTCGAGCGTCTGGAGTTTTGTGCCTAGCAGCTGATGCTTTTCGCGATGGCTATGATTCTTTTGAACATTCCTTATATTTTTCTGTATATTTTATTGTTTTCTTCTATTCTGTTTTCTTTGTTTCTTTATTTTTTATTTCTTCATTACTCTATCTGTCAACACCCTGCTTTACTACTTTTCGTTGTTGCATTTTTCGCGTTATCTTTCTTTTGTTATTTTGGTATTTTCATATTTTTTTGTTTTTGTTTTTGTTTTCGTTGTTTTTTTTGAACACTTTTCAGAACTGGTAACTGGTCCAACAGCTCCAATACGCCGCGGCTGCTGATCAGACAGACAAACCGATCAACGGATACACACTATACCACAGAGGCAATGCGCACACACATACACACGCTTGCATACGAACGCCAACGAAGACTTCTTAGTTGGCATATTGGCCACCGCCACACACACACACACGGTTGGAATGGTGGGGTACACCATCAGGTACATACAAGTAGACACTTCAGTGGAGATCACTTATGCGTATGTGTGTGCTATATATGCAAAACGACTGAATATATGCATGCATGTAATATATATTTTTACACCGAAAATCAAATTTATTATTTTTCCAAGCACACAGAGGTCATAAAAACTTTATGTGTTGCAATAAACACTTTAACTGTTTTTTTTTTTTCACAGCATTCAAACACTGAAAAACTGGCCAATTTGAATACACTTACATATGCATGTATGTATGTATGGATATGCAACAATTTTTTCACTTACAAGTACATACATATATACCTATTTTTTTTCTTATTCAATTAAATTTTCCAAAATTTCGCATCCGTCAAACACATCTTAACACTCTCAACACTCTTTGTAGACTAAACTAAAATGGCCATACAAATTGGCGTGGTGCTCTTGTGGCAAAAACGTTTACCTGCACGTAATGCCACACCACAAGTGTTGGCTGATCGCTGCTGCACTCGAGTAACAAACAACAGGTCGGCGGGTATGCGCCTTTTCCCTGCTCTCATTGAAACACACCTGGGCATACACACGTATGCGCGCACATAGCCGTTGTCAAAAGCAAACAAAGTTCAAAAACTCATTCAACTGGCTCT